CACTAGGTCCATCCATGTCGCTGCAAATGGCATTATTTCTTTGTTTTTGATGAAAAGAAGGCTGAGTAATATTCCATTGTATATTTATACCATATCTTCTTTATCCATTCCTCTGTCCGTGGACATTTAGGTTGCTTCTATGTCTTGGCTATTATAAACAGTGCTGCAATGAACATAGATGTATGTGTATCTTTTGGATCATGTTTATCTGCAGATATATGCCCAGGAGTTGGATTGCAGGGTCATTTGGTAGCTCTATTTTTAGTGTTCTCCATAGTGGTTATACCAATTTACATTCCCACCAACAGTGTAGGAGGGTTCCCTTCTCTCCACAACCTCTCCAGCACTTACTGTTTGTGAATTTTTTGATGATAGCCATTCTGAGTGGCTTAAAGAGATGTCTTATAGTTTTTATTTCTATTTTTTTAGTAATTAGTGATGTTGAACATCTTTTCATGTGCCTATTGGCCATCTGTTTGTCTTCTTTAGCTCAGCTAGTAAAGAATTTGCCTTCAATGCAGAAGTCCAGTTCAGTTCCTGGGTTGGGAAGATCTGCTGGAGAAGGGATAGGCTACCCACTCCAGTATTCTTGGGCTTCCCTTGTGCTCAGCTGGTAAAGAATCCTCCTGCAATGTGGGAGACCAGGGTTCAACCCCTGGGTTGGGAAGATTCCCTGGAGAAGGGAAAGCTACCCACTGCATTATTCTGGCCTGGAGAATTCCATGGACTGGATGTATAGTCCATAGCATCGCAAAGAGTTGGACATGACTGAGTGGCTTTCACGTTCATGTCTTCTTTGGAGAAGAGATTATACAGGTCTTTTACCCATTTTTTAAGTGGGCTGTTTGTTTTGATGCTGTTAAGTGTCATAAACTGTATGTAAATTTTGGAGACTAATCCCGTATCAGTCACATCATTTGCAAATATTAATATTTTCTCCCAATTTGTGTGTTATCTTTTCATTTTGTTCATTGTTTCCTTTGCTGTGCAAAAAGTTTTGAGTTTAAGTGGGTCCCACTTGTTTATTTTTGTTTTTATTTCCATTATTCTGGAAGATAGATCAAAAAAGATACTGCTGTGATTTATGTCAGAGAGTGTTCTGCCTATGTTTTCCTCTAGAAGTTTTATATTAAAAGTGTCCAGTCTCACATTTAGGTCTTTAATCCATGGTTATTTTTTAACATGATAACTATGGCATAAGCATAATTTGAGTATTATGCAGCCTGGAGAAAATCTGCACTTTATGAAGGATGATTCCATGACATCAAGGTTAACTATAAGGAGGACAAGAAGAAAGCAACTTCTTGAAGACAACACTCAACAAGAAAACCTTGAAGATGCTGACACCCCAGGTCTTTCCAGTGCCCAAATGAAGCTGCATGGTCAACAAATGCCTAAATTGGTATTTATGGCACCAGAATTTATATCAGGTTTTCCTTACCTAGCTTAGGGAAACTTCTTGTGCAAAGATGTCCCATTGTTTTTTAAGGATATCCTCATTTTTAAGATTTGGGGATTCTGATTCTTCAAGTGGTTCCTGTTACTAACAAATGACCAATATTTGTTAAATGTTTCTTTGTATGTACCAAAAAGTATTTAAAATTCTGCCAATTTCACTTCATATCTGTTACTTCTACCTATTACTCAGTCCTAACTTGACTACTTATTTATTCATTATTTCAACCAACACATCTTGACCACCTACCATATGCAGTTTGGAGGCTGTTGATTATAGGTGACAGACTAAAGCGGTATCCGCAGTAGTGGACACAAGTGGTAGGATTTTGGATTTATTTTGAAGGTAAAGCTGACAACACAGAATCAAAGATGACTCTTAAAGCTTTGGGTCTAAATAAGTGGGATGAAATTACCATTTCCTGGGATGGATAAGACCATAGAAAAGGCAGGTTTAAGATGAGGATGATTTTGGATATGTTGAGCTCAGGATGCCTATTAAATATCTAAATGGTGATGCAAATAAATACATAAGTTTGGAGTTCAGGGAAGAGGTTGGGGCTAGATGTATAAATTTGTGAGTTGTAAGCTCAAAGATGGTATTTAAAACTATGAGCTTGGATGAGATCACGTAGGGAATGATGTAAGTAGAGGAAAGGTCTGAGCCTGAGGCCAAGACATTCCAGCTATAGAGGAGAAAAAATTTTCCTTGACCTTCTTCCTCGCCTGTATCTGAAAATTAAAGTGACAGTTTAGCAGGAGAAATGTATACGAATTTACTCAAAGTAAGTTTTACATGACACAGTAGGCTTCATAAGGAAATGAAGACCCAAAGAGACAGATCTGTGTGTTTTTTGCTAGGCTTGATGAAGCGTGGACAGTCACGGGAAAGAATGTGGTAGATAAGGAGTAAGAGGTAAACTCAGTGAACTGGGACACTCAGTATAGCCTGTTTGTTCAGATTCTTCTCAGCATCCCTTCATTTCCTGAGATAAGGAGGCTCCTTTCCTCTGTGTCTAGGGAGGACACCTCTCACCTGGGATTTGTGATCTGATGCAGCAGAGAAGAGAGGGGGTGTCAGAGTGACCTTCCTGCTTCTGCCTATTTACTCAGACTCCTTCAGTTCATAATATTCACTGCCAAGATGCCATATTTGGGGGTAGCATGTCCTGAATCCCATAGCACTTAGAGATTAGACAAGAAAGAACCAGGAGAGGAGACTGAGAAGTGGGCAATAGGAGAAGAACCATGAAGGAGTGGTATCCTGGCAGCCAAATAAGTGAAACAAGGGTTTCAGGTTGAAAAGAATGATCCACTGTTGTCAGTGAAATGAAGACAAAGAAGTGACCGTTGGATTTGACAACATGCAAGTTACTAATAATGATCTTTCCAAAAAATGGATTTTGATGGATGGGCATGAAAACCTGATGAGAATAGGAGAAGTGAAGCTAGCAAATGAAAAAAAAACCAAGACAAAAACTCTTTCTATGCATTTTGTGTAAGGCAAGCAGAGAAATGGGGTAGCAACCAGAAATAGATGTGAAGTCAGTGAGAGTTATTTATTATGTTTTTGTAGTTTTTTATTTGGCTGTACTGGGTCTTCACTGCTTTATGTGAACTTTCTGTAGCAGCGACTAGTGGAGTCTACTCTTGGCCGCGCACGGCTTCTCGTTGTGGCGGCTTCTCTTGTTGCGGAGCCCTAGAGCGCTGTGGCTCAGTAGTGATGCACGGGCTCAATTGCTCCGAGGCATGTGGAATCTTCCTGGACCTGGGATCAAACCTGCGTTGGCAGGCGGATTCTTAACCACTGGATCATCAAGGAAATCCCATCAAGGGGAGATTTTATGGTAGGAGATATTAGACATCATGGTGGTACAACATTGGAAATGAGCCAGCCACTCTATATAGCGAAGAGAATGACTTTGAGTTCAGTTTAAGCAGAGCTTATTTTCCACCTGGTTCAGTATCTTTGCCTGGAGAATTCCGTGGACAGAGGAACCTGGTGGGCTACAGTCCATGGGGTCCCAAAGAGTCAGACATGACTGAGTGACTAACACTTTTACTTTTTTCGGGTTCTGAGAGCTTCCCTCCTAAGTAGTTTGGCATTTGCTTCTGCAAGGTGTCCCCACGGACACCACCAGCCCAAGACTCATTCTCATGTTAATTTTTCAGCTTGAGATTTTCCACACCAAGCAAGCAAAATAAATTTGGACTCCAGAACTTCACAAAGCACAACCTTGGGTTTGATATCTCACCTAGGGACTTTTTTTCCCTCAACCAAGGCCTTACAAAGACAAACTTTCTTTGCCTTTTCTCTGGACTTAGGGGCAAAGTTTACTATTCCATTTTCAATAACCCTTAGAGGGTTCCAATTTCTGTTACTGATAAAAACCAGAGCCCATGTTGCTGCCCCAGCAACTCAGCCATACCTTTTAAGTTTTGACTGAATTTTAGCCAGCATCTCTAGAGATTTGTGACCAGAAGTTTCAGTACTTTCTAGACCACCACTTTGCTATAATCAGAAATCATCTCCCTTCATTCTTCACCTGGCTAATTCCTAATTGCCTTTGAGGTCTCAACTTAAATGTGACTTCTCAGAGAGGTATTCCCTAACACACTCCATCCCAATTTAGTTTATACTTTTATACCAAGAGCACCCTCCTTCTGTCTTAGCACTTGTCATTTATAACTCCACATGAATATTTGTTTAATGCTGATACTCCCTTTAGATTAAAAACTACATAGAGGCAAGAAAGAAGCCTATTTAGTTTACCATATAGCAGAAGGTCTGATTTATAGAAGATGCTCAATCCAGGTTCTGTGACTGAACAAATGATTGTCTAAAAATCAAACAACTAAGAGTAGAACTAACTACCCTTCCCTGGTGGCTCAGCTGGTAAAGAATCTGCCTGCAATGAGGGAGACCTGGGTTCGATCCCTGGATTGGGAACATTCCCCTGGAGAAGAGAATGGCTATCCACTCCAGTATTCTGGCCTGAGGAATTCCATGGACTGTATAGTCCATGGGATCACAAAGAGTCAGAGGACTTCCCAGGTGGCTCAGTTGTAAAGAATCTGCCTGCTAATGCAAGAGACACAGGAGATGCCAGTTCCATCCCTGGGTCAGGAAGATCCCCTGGAGAAGGAAATGGCAACCCATTCCAGTATTCTTGCCTGGAAAAATCCCATGGACACAGGAACCTGGCAGGCTTCAGTCCATGGAGTCTCAAAGAGTCAGAGACAATTGAGCACTTACGCACAAGAGTAGTGTAGGGACTTCGCTGCCTGTCCAGTGGTTAAGACTCTACATTTCCACTGCCAGGGGCACGGGTTCGATCCCTGGTCAGGGAACTAAGTTTCCACATAAAAAGAGTATTACATGGTATCCTGAAACCTGTTATCTTCTGTGTCTTGGAGATGATATTCTCTAAGGAGAAAGTATTTTTAGTGGAAAAATGACAGCCGTTTCTGTCATTTCACTTGGCTCGTCTTAGAGAGGCCGTGTTACTCCAGTGTTGGTAACCACTGTGTCTTTTCCTCTCTAGAATGGAGATCTCCTCTCATCAGTCTCACCTCCTGCAACAACTGAATGAGCAGCGCAGGCAGGATGTATTTTGTGACTGCAGTATTCTGGTTGAAGGGAAGGTCTTCAAAGCCCATCGAAATGTCTTATTTGCTAGTAGTGGCTACTTTAAAATGCTTCTTTCTCAGAACTCCAAGGAGACAAGTCAGCCAACCACAGCGACATTTCAGGCCTTCTCCCCTGACACCTTTACAGTTATCCTGGACTTTGTCTATTCTGGCAAGCTCTCTCTCACAGGTCAGAATGTCATAGAAGTGATGTCAGCTGCTAGCTTCCTTCAGATGACTGATGTCATCAGTGTATGTAAGACCTTTATTAAATCTTCGTTAGACATTAGTGAGAAAGAAAAGGATCGCTATTTCAGCCTCTCTGATAAAGATGCCAATTCTAATGGTATAGAACGCTCCTCTTTTTATAGCAGTGGCTGGCAAGACGAAAGCAGTTCTCCTCGTCCTCACCTAAGCCCGGATCAAGGATCAGGTATAATAAGCGGGAAATCTTGGAGTAAGTATAATTACCATCCAGTGTCCCAAAGGAATACTCAGCAGCCTCCGGCCAAGCATGAACAAAGGAAAGATTCCATTAAAAAGTCCAAACATTTGAGGTTGTCACAGCCTTCTGAAATGGCTCATTATAAGTCAAGCAAACGAGAAGCACGGACATCTGATTCTTCCAGCCATGTTTCCCAGTCTGAAGAACAGGCACAGATGAATGTGGAAATGGACTCTACTCCTGTTAGCTATCAGTATAGTCAAGGATCTGATGTCACGTCGAGAAGTTTTCCAGGTACCCAAATAGAGAATTAGTCCTGTCAATCGGGTTCCAAGACTCCAGTGTAAATCAATCCTATCTCAACATGCCCTTGCTTTTAAGGCAGTTGAACCAAGTATGTTTTTTCCCCCTTTTTAAAAGGTCATACTTCTCTAATGAAATCTATGCATAAAAGGTAAATTTTTAAAATTAAAATATTGGATACATTTAGTAAGTCAAAACAATAGAGTTCTGAGGGTCAGAAACCCATGATTTTCCAGACCTGCTTTTCTGTAGATGATTAGATTACTGTTAGATGTTTACAGTTCTTTTGTAAATGGCTCAGTCCTAACATATATTCGATTTATTTTTAAAAGTTTTATATTGTAGTACAGCTGATTAACAATGTTGTGTTAGTCTCAGATGTACATCAAAGTGATTCAGTTATACACCACACTTTCACTTTAAATAGTTTATTTTTTCTGAGTATTCACTCAGGAGGAGTATTTTTATATAGAAAAATTAAATAGAGCAATCATGCATATTGGCAAAGGTTCACAGCCCTAATACCTAAAATAAATTAAATCTGATTTTATTAAAATATAAATGTGTAATTTTAAAAAACATAACATTGATACTGTAATTCTGTGTGAAACACCATGAGATATCTCATTTCTATGATAGTAAAATGCAGAGAAATTATGTAGGCTAATAGTTTCAAAGTAGAGAACAAGGATTAGAAATGCATATCATCTAGTCCTCCCAATTAATCAGTTAGCAGATTTGCTTAGTAGTTTGAAAAGTGAAAATGAAAGTTGCTCAGTTGTGTCCAAGTCTTTGGGATCCCATAGACTATACAGTCCATGGAATTCTCCAGGCCAGAATATTGGAGTGAGTAGCCTTTCCCTTCTCCAGGGGATCTTCCCAACCCAGGGATCAAACCCAGGTCTCCTGCATTGCAGGCAGATTCTTTACCAGCTAAGCTATAAGGAAAGCCCAAGCATACTGGAGTGGGTAGCCTACCCCTTCTCCAGCCGATCATCCCAGCCTAGGAATTGAACCGGGGTCTCCTGCATTGCAGGTGGATTCTTTACTAATTGAGCTATCAGGGAAGCCACGCTTAATAGTTTACATGTGAATTTAAAGGAAAATTGTGATAAAATAAAACTGCAGAGCATAATATTTAGAAAAAATTCCATATATATATATATATATGTACAGAGAATAGTATAATTAACCCCATGCACCTATTATTACCCAGTCCCACTCATGACCAGTCTTGTACCTCTGCCCTTGACTCTTCCCCCTTGTTAATAATTTTTATTGTACATAGGATATTCAGAATACAAACAATTTTTATGTACATTATTTGAAAACAGCATCCACTGTATCTCTGCTCTGCTCCGTTCAGTCATGCCCAACTCTTTGTGACCCTTTGGTTCCACCAGGCTCCTCTGTCCATGGGATTTTTCAGGTAAGAATACTGGAGTGGCTTACCATTTCCTCCTCCAAATCTTCCCCTTTTTAAGTAAATCTCAGACATCATATGCCTTCATCTGTAAATATTTCAAAATGTGTCCCTAAAATATAAATTTAGAAAAACTATAATACCATTATTATCATATGTAAATAAAATTAACCAGTACTTAATATCACTAAAAGCCAGTCAATATTCACATTTCCCTGGTTGTGATATAAATTTTAGAAAATAATCTTGTTGCAGATAACATATTTAAAAACAATATCCACCCCAACTGACTTTTAAAAACAATAGCCACCCCAACTGACTTTTACTAATCACATTTTCCTGTAGGATACTCACATGAAAATACTTAAGATTGTATCATATTGCAAAGCTTATTGAAAATCCGGAGGAGCTCTACCACTGACCAAGGCAAACAGATATAACAGAGTAAATATGGGAAATCTTTGTCACATTTTATTTTATTTTATTTTATAATTTTATTTATTTATGATTTGGCTGCACTGGGTCTTAGTTGTGGCACATGGGATCTAGTTCCCTGACCAGGGACTGAACCCTGGCCCCCTTCATTGGGAGCTTGGAATCTTAGCCACTGGACCACCAGGGAAGTCCCCTTTGTCGCATTTTAAAACAGCAAAAAAGTTATCCTTTCTTGGGCTTTGCACTTTTATAATTCTAAGTTATTTAAATCCAACTTCAATAATGAACAGTTGAGGGACTCCCTTGGTGGTTCAGTTGCTCAGACTCTGTACTTCCAGTGCAAGGAGCATGAGCTCAATCCCTGGTGGTGGAACTAAGATCCCACATGTCATATGGCACAGCCAAAAAATAAAAACAAATAAAATAACAGTAAGAATAATAAAATAATTTTAAAAAAATAAATGACAGCTGAATTTAACTATTAAATTGATGATGTTTGCCTCCAACTATAAGTGACGTTTTGAATCCATATGAGTTTTAAAACTAAAGGTTAAAATATCCTTGAAACTTTTTCACCTTTGAAAGAAAAGCAGTACAACTGTATGACAGGTAAGAGCAGGGGGATAAATATGTGTAAATAAAATAAGTTACTTAAAAACATAAACAGTGAGCACTTTAACTTTTGGAGTGTGTCTACAGTTTTAAAATCGTAAAGAATCCACCTGCTAATGCAGGAGACACAGGTTCAACTGCTGGGGAGGGAAAAATCCCCTGGAGAAGGAAATGGCAACCCCAACTCCAGTATTCTTGCTTGGAAAATCTTATGGACAGAGAAGCCTGGTGGGCTACAGTCCATGGGGTCGTAAAGAGTCAGACACAATTGAACAATTAAACACGCAGCTACCAGTTTACTTTCAAATCTGGTGACTCTAAGACATTAAATAAAAAGATAAGTGGGACAGTGTAAATTACCCAGACTTTGTAAATAAATCAGATCCTGAAGTTATAGTTCTGTACTTAGGATAACATCAACAATCTAGTCTTTGTAAAATGTCTTCCTTCTCCTTTTTGCCTACCTTTGTGAGACTGGACTCGCCAGCCCCTTTTGGATTCTTGATGTTATTAGAATTGTGGTGACGAACTTTCCAGTAATTTGATCAAACTGTCTCTGACAGATGACCTGCCCAGGATGAGGTTCAAGTGTCCGTACTGCACACACGTGGTGAAGCGGAAGGCAGACCTCAAGCGCCATCTTCGTTGTCACACTGGAGAAAGACCCTACCCCTGTCAAGCTTGTGGGAAAAGATTTAGCCGGCTCGACCATCTAAGTAGCCATTTTCGAACAGTATGTATATGGTTTTTCATTGTTTCACTTTTAGGAAATAGATGCATTTATCTTTCTTAGGATAACTGAGTTTGCTAGGAAAATCTTTTCATATAACTCTACAATATTGTTTTAAATTTCCAATTTAATGTTTTTACTTTGCACGTAATGCATTATCTTATTTGTTGATTTTATTTCTTGGCTGCTCAGGATCTTTGTTGCTGCATGAAGGCTCTCGCTAGTTGGGGCAATCAGGGGCTACTCTCTAGTTGTGGCATGCTGGCTTCTTATTGTGGTGGCTTCTCTTGTGGAACACGGGCTCTAGAGGACAGGCTTCAGTAGTTGTGGCGCACAGGCTTAGTTGCCCCCCAACATGTGGGATCTTCTTGGACCAGGGATTGAACCCCTGTCCCCTTCATTGGCAGGGGTATCCTTAACCACTGGACCACCAGGGAAGTCCCTATATATTTTTAAGTCTCCTATGAAACCTTGAAGTAAGGGATGTTCTTTTTTTTAAAGCTCTTATTTTTGGCTGCGCCGAATCTTCATTGCTGCGAGCAGACTTTATCTAGTTGTGAGAGGGGGCTACGTTTGTTACGGTGTGGGGGGCTCTCCTTGTGGTGGCTTCTCTTGTTGTGGAGCAGGGGCTCTAGAGCACAGATTCAGTAGTTGTGCACAGGCCTAGTCACCCCATGGCATGTGGAATCTTCCTGGACTAGGAACTGAACCTGTGTCCCCTGCATTGGTAGGCAGACTCTGGACATTGGACCACCAGGAAAGTCCAAGCGACATTCTTTTGAATATCCATCTCAATTCACTTAAAATCTTAACATGTTTTTATATGCCAGCCATTTCAGAGCCAAAGATAATGTAAATTATAAAAATGTGTAGGTCAGAATCACCGCTGCAGATACTCAGCGTCCACTAGTGATTCATGCATCCTTGTCTGGTAGGCTGTCAGTCTGCTTTCTGCTGTCTGACGTCCACACTGCACCCTCTTCGTCACGCCTCTCCAGTTTCTCTAGTCTCCTCAAGGAAGGGAATAAGAAGGATTAGACAGTGACTCTCAATCAGGGAGTGGGCTGTCAGCAGTCAGAAGGATCTCAGGGAATTTGCTGTTGAGTGCTCTGGCGGTTTAACAAGGTAGTGACATAGGATTTATTCCGCTGTTCATCTTGCAGCAAGAAGTTTTTCAAAATCTGTGGAGTGTTACTCATACTTTTATTCCACTTATACAAACTCCTTTTAATTTTGAAGAGCATTGGGTCACTTGGTACATTACTTTATAGTTATTTATTCAACAAATATATATTGAGCATTCTGTGGGCCAGACCCTTTTCTACATGCTAGGTATATGGCAGTGAGCAAAACAAACTCTGCCTTCCTTAATTTCTGAAGCGAAATTTTTTTAAATTAAAATAACCTTTTATTATTCCAAAAGCAATAAGTATGCATTATAAAAAGCAAGAAAATAAATAGAAGTAAGAATAAGAAAATAAAAATATCGTATTTACCACCTAGATAGTTCTATTCTTAACACTTTATCATGAGGCTTCCCTGGTGGTTCAGCGGTAAAGAATATGCCTGAGACACGGGTTTGATCCCTGGTCTGGGAATATTACTGAGCCAGTTGTTTTACAAAACATCCTACATCTGGGTTTCTCTGCTTGCTTCTACATGGTGTCATTTAGCTTGTCCTTCTATCCCCCCTGCATTTTCCAAAAACTAGACGTTTAGTCTAAAGGGTTAATGAATTCAAATTAAATACTTTCATCAAGGAAGAAATTGTGTATTTCTTATTGTATCACCTTAGGAGGGGCTTCCCTGGTAGCTCACCTGGTAAAGAATCCACCTGCAATGCAGGAGACTCTGTTTTTGATCCCTGGGTTGGGAAGATCCCCTGGAGGAAGGCATTGCAACCCACTCCAGGGTTCTTGCCTGGAGAAGCCCCATGGACAAGAGAAGCCTGGTGGGCTACAGTCCATGGGGTCGCTATGAGTCAGAAATGACTGAGCAGCTAAGCACAGCGCAGCACATCGGGAGACACATAGTATCTGGTGGGCCCATCATTCGTGTTACGATTGACCTCTGGATTAGGGTGTTGGTACCATTGCATTATAATTAGAAAAAGAATCTCTGTGGAACTATTTTGCTATTATATGACTATTTCCCCAATATTAATTTAATAATATCAATACCAATTGGTAATCTCTGTCCAAATTATTAATTTTACTTGGAGTTGTGAAATGATTTACTGATTTTATCCTTCCTTCTGTATTACTACCTGGAATTCTATAAAGTAAAGCTTTCCTTCATCACCTGGGGCTATTTGGTTACTTTGAAATAGGGTTCCTACAGGAAAAGCAATATAAATGTTTATTTCCCTTTAATTAGCAATTTTCAGAGTAAGGAGTTGATGTAATAGTAGGCTCAAATGATATATGAGTTTCTTCTGGCTTTATTTTTTTTTTTAATAATATACAGTCTCATGAATTTTCATTGATTTATTGTGTTTGGATCCATAACAGTTATTCTTTTTGATCCTCAGATTTTCAAATTTGTGCAGTGGGGACCCTTGAAGCTGGCTCACAACCCATTAAATTTTCAAAGTGTCTTAGTTTTCTGGCTTTTAAAGAGCCCTAAGCCCGTCTTGTACTTCCCCAGACACAAAACTGGAATCAGCCTTTTCTCAAAGGAGCTATGGTACATTTCAGTGGGGGATGAAATTAGAAACCAACATTTGAACACCCAGGGCACTCACTGTTATTAGGGCACTCTTTTTATATTCTTTCTGAACTGATGGTGGTTTAGTCGCTAAGTCATGTCCAACTCTTACAACTCCATGAACTGTAGCCCACCAGGCTCCTCTGTCCATGGGGTTCTCTATGCGAGAATACTAGAGTGGATTGCCATTTCCTTCTCCAGGGGATCTTCCAGACCCAGGAATCGAACGCGGGTCTTCTGCATGGCAGGCAGATTCTTTACCAACTGAGCTATGAGGGAAGCCCCTTTCTGAGCTAGAAGATGCATATTTTTAAAGTGATGGGTTCCTGATAATATTTTCAATTTTAACATTCCAGTGTTTCACTTAATTTCTTTGTCTTCTTAATTGTGTTGGATTTGAAGGGGGATGATCATGAATCTGTGTCAGAACTTTGTAACAAGAACAATGCCTCATATGATAACCATAATACTGCTACTGTCTCAGGAGAAATAAAGATACACTTAAAATTACGTACTTTCATGGGGAGGGAGGTGGGAGGGGGGTTCAGGATGGGGAACACATGTAAATCCATGGCTGATTCATGTCTATGTATGGCAAAAACCACTACAATATTATAAAGTAATTAGCCTCCAACTAATAAAACTAATTGGGAAAAAAAAATTACGTACTTTCAGCATTTACTGAGTAATATGTCAGTGGTTAAGCAGAAGATAATAAGTGTATTGAGTGTTAGTCCCATACGTATTCTTAGCTATGTTACCAGACTGCATTAGTTTTCTTGGGTTTTTTGATCACTTTGTATTTGGTGGCCTACTTCATAGCATTCCAACTTTATCTGAATGAAGATGCCATCAACATTAATTTAGCTTTATATAGTTAATATTATGTAATAATTTTTAGGTTAGAATCTATAATCTACTGCTCTGATAGCTATTGAACAAAGTTATTTATGACTAACTATAATATATGATTATTCATCAATTATAACCTCTTCCCAGAGCATTTCACACATATTAACTCATTTGGTCCACACAACCTGAAGTGTATCCCTATTGGTAATAAGGGAGCAATTAGGAATGATAATAGACCAATATATAGCAGAACCACCATCTTGGTTGTTTGTAACTAGTATCCATTCTGGTCATCAGGCTTTTATTCTGTTTGCGTGGTACCCATATATTACCGGAGAAGGCAATGGCACCCCACTCCAGTACTCTTGCCTGGAAAATCCCATGGACGGAGGAGCCTGGTAGGCTGCAGTCCGTGGGGTCGCTACGAATCGCACACGACTGAGCGACTTCACTTTCACTTTTCACTTTCACACATTGGAGAAGGAAATGGCAACCCACTCCAGTGTTCTTGCCTTGAGAATCCCAGGGATGGGGGAGCCTGGTGGGCGGCCGTCTATGGGGTCGCACAGAGTCGAACACCACTGAAGTAACTTAGCAGCAGCAGCAGCTTACCTTACCAGTTGTTAAATACTTTGACAGTCACCCTGGAGGCAGGTTTCTGTTTTAAATGACTTGCTTCACTATACATGGTTAGTAAATGACAAGATTAGAAAATGACAGAAGCAGAACTAGTACCTAAGCCTTCCAATTCCTTGACTAGTCTTCTTTCTACTACCTCTTTCATTAATAAAAGTGGCAATAATCCTTACATCAAAAAATATTCTTTGATAAATTTACATTTGGGACATTATTTTTTCTTCCTCAAACAAAATAACAAAATAGTTTTTTCTCCTGAATTAAGGTATTTAAAGTCCTTAGAATAGTATATGGCAGATATTAAGTGTTTGCAATTATTATTATCCTGGGAATATGTCCCATGTTACCTCAGATATAAAAATACTATTGGATTAAGGGATATGTGAAATTATTAAGTACGTAATGTTAACCATGAAAACATAATAGACATTATTTAGAGAAAGCTAGTGTTTGATATTTCTGTGACATTACTTTATTACCAAAACCTGTGACCTTTTTCTAATAAACTAGATGTTAATTTAATATCATTGCTTGGCTTTGACATGTTAAATTTACGAACTGGTACTTAGAATATCAAACTATTCTGCTGTTGAAAAATCTTTTTTTTTAATCGCTATTTAATTCTCTACACAGATTCACCAGGCATGCAAACTTATCTGCAGAAAATGCAAGCGCCATGTGACTGACCTAACAGGTCAGGTGGTACAGGAAGGAACGCGGCGCTACAGACTCTGCAATGAGTGCCTTGCTGAGGTTGGCATAGACAGCCTCCCCATTGATCTGGAGGCTGAGCAGCACCTTATGTCCCCAGCAGATGGAGACAAGGATTCCAGATGGCACATGGGTGAAGATGAGAACAGATCCTACGTGGAGATAGTCGAGGATGGGTCTGCCGACCTAGTCATACAACAGGTGGATGACAGTGAAGAAGAAGAAGAAAAGGAAATAAAGCCCAACATCAGGTAGCTGGAATGTGAACCAACAGAGCCTACAGCTTTCACTGACATTCTTGTGTCACTCTTTCCACAGTCAGAGTCTAATCAACAAATTATCAGATCAACTTAAAAGTAATGACCTGACGCCACTTGCATGCTTTCTGAACAGGCCATTGTATCCATTCTGAACTTTACCGCCCTAAAATCTGTTGCTGCACTAGAAAGACCTAGCTTGAGTTGACACGCTGGATGAGCAATTAATCCTCTTACTTTTATTGTGTTACAGAAATACCTTTTTTTAAAAAATATTGAAAAACCTACTTAGGGAACTTTTTTCAAAGAAAGTATTTTCAATAAATTCACCACAACCAAACTTTATACAAAATAATTTCAAAGTGTTTCAAAATTATGTAAACTACCACTATTGAATTTTCACAGGGAACTAGGTCAGAGCACATTTAAGGGTCTGGAAACCTACCTGACTTAACTAATTAGACTTTCTGTTAACTTCAGATCTAAAACAACCTATCATTATTCCATTATCCTAAGGGTTTTAGGATTATGGCAGAAGGCAAGTCTAAAATGTTTGAAGTCGTTCATATTTGAAAATTTTGTCATTAAATTAGAAGTTACTCTTATGTAGTCAGTATTTAAAAAAAAAAAAAAAAAAACATGGAAGCTGACCAGAGATTATATATAGACATCATTTTCTTTAAGCAGGAACCTAATATTGTCAACGTAGTTTTTGAAGACTGGTCAATAATAGCTATCTTCCTCTCTAAAGAAAAAAAGGAAAATGAAAACTGGAGGTTCTTACCAGTTCTTAAGAGTAATTTCCTACATTTATATACTGCTCTACTATTTATAAAGTGCTCTTTCTTGCATTTCCCCACCTAATCAGCAAGGTAGATAGCACTGTCTCTGATGTACAAATAAGGAAATTAAGGTCAGAAAGTGTAAGTGGTGGGACCAGAGACTGGACAGGTTTTGATTTTAAATAGTCCTCTTTCAGCTGTCTCTCCTTGAATTGTCAAACCTCACCAATCTGCAATAATTATAAAAGAAGCCTATAAGAATGAGAAAGTATGAAAGAAGAGGAATTTAATCATCTTCGACAACATATAATACCTTGCACTAGAGCTATTCAAGAAGTGTCGAGCAATGTCCCTACAGTATCTATTGACATGTTTTTATGTTATTTATATGTAAAATTTATATATAAAACTATTTGAACAAGTTATCTAAGTTCTTTAAGATCTTTGCTTGTTTATGCAATTTTTCAAAACAAACTTTCTACTAGGATACAAAATGAAGTTTTAACTCCTCCCCTATATGAATTATAAAACATTCCAAAATTACAGTCAAAGTGAAGAAGCATTATTTTAGTTGTAAAGATTAAATACTAGAAGTAAAGAACTGTCCTTCATAAAAGTCTTGGCAAGTTATCCCAATTAAGCTTGTTTTAATTTAATTTTGATAGAGGCTCCATGTATTACTCTGTATTTTTAACTGCCATGACATACCTCAAGATAGTTTTTATGTTATTATTTTCTCTTATTCTTCAATTAACGATTGTCCTTAATACCAATTTGCGGGCTAAAGTGGTTAATTTCTTTCATTTTTTTTATTAATAGGTGATAACCACTTTGTTTTATGGTACTTACTTCTGATTTTTTTCAAGATTCTCCTGATGGTAAATTTCCAGTTGCTTCAAGACTGGATGGTGTGCGTTGCATTTTTTATCTCCCAATATGACCATTCCTGAATCAGGAGTCTTAACAATTAAACTGTTATAAATGAGAGAGGGAACATAAGTATAATATGATTCTGAACCATTGGAGCCAATAAGAAAAATGACAGATTTGAGCTTTATTTATAGAAATGAAGTCATGCTTGCATGTGTATACTTTAACGCACTTTAGTCTATGACCTAAATGTTCTTTAATGCTACTATCTTCTGCATGCAAACATCAGCATGAATGTCAGCAAAGTCCACTGAACACAGTGCCACCAGCACTTGTAGAGCCTTATCAGAGATATGCTTTCTCATAATTGTTTATAACAAGCATCGAGCAATCCCCTCAAAACAGCTATCAGATTCACCAGACTAGCACATCTGTTCTGTTATTTTAGTATATAAAAGAACATTTGTGACATGTTTGTAAGTTGTAAATAATAGCTACAGTATCATATCATATTTATCTAAGACTTTAGAGACCAATTCTTTTCTAGAGTGAAACTGTCGATTAATGGTTTCTAAGAAAACTGAATTCTTTGGCTCTTAAATGTGGGAAAATATTACATAGGGGTATAATCTGTTAATATAAACTTTATTTATGCCAAGATTTTTTTTAACATTAGGAAAATAATGGAAGTTGGTTAGACCAAAGTTTGATCTTATAAGAATGCTGTTTGTCAGCTTCTGAATACCCTTGTAAGTCTATCTATGGTCCTCAAGAGTATCTGGTTGATGGGATGAAGTTTTGCAAAAATAAAGCACCACTGCAGTCATGCCTAGTGTCTGGATGAAGCAAAATAGACTAGGTCGGTGGTTTAAAAGGGTATTTTTTTTAACTCAAGAAACACTTTTTTCAAATAAAATTTTTCATAGAGAAGTTCAGCATTTAAAGGAAACTAAATGCTAAATATAAAATATTTTATAAATATTTTAACAGAGCTGCTCTGGTTAAAGCTCCTTGCAAGCCTTTCCCCACACACTTGTGCAGAGCTCAGGAGTCCAACACTGAAAACCTTGGACTGGATCACTTTTTAAATTCCCTTTGAGCATTACAGTCTCACTTTATTACTCCTGCTACTCCCAGCACTTATAAGCTGGTAACCATAGAATCTCTTAGAGCAGCAAATCACATCTTTACAAGGTTTCTTCTATAGTTATCACATCTTAAGACCTTTTTCAGAACAAATTTGTCAATATTGTATGTTTGAGTGAGGAAATCAAACATGGTTACTGCTTTTATGTGGCCAAGTTACCACTGAATGGATAAAAAGTTTAATGTTTCAGTTACTTAGGAGCTCAGAACTCAGTTCATTAAAGTTATTTTGCCAAGTCTTGCTAAGATATATTGAAATTTCCATGCATACTAGTTATATGTATTTGGAGTCCTAAACTTGATACTATGGAAAAAAAATCACTAAAAAAAAATATAGCATAAGATGTGTTTAACTGGGAAGCTTGATATTAGTAGGTACCGGAGGACCAAACTTTATAAATGGAAAGTTGTATGTTATTTTATATTAGAGTGGATCAGTATTACTATTTATCATTTATATAGCATTTTATATTTGCAAAGTATTTAATAATTTTTATGTTATTCTTTAAGTATCTATGAAATAGGATGTTTATCACATGAAAGGTAAAGAAATTAAGGCACAGAACAATAAAGCAACCTACCTAAGACAACCCAGTGAAACAATGCAGAAATTGGAATTAGAATGATCAGATTTTCTGAATCCTAGAATATCAACTTAAATCACTGAGGTGTGTTGTGTATTACTCTATTTTATAAGATGAGTTTATACAAATAACAATTGTTTTAAAGCTGACGTCATTGTATGTGGATAATAAATCCTATACAGAATAAATATTATGTAAAGGATGTGACTTTGGTTACAAGAGTTTCAATGATAAAGATTCAGATTGTTACACCAGTGGCATTATTTAGCCAGCTGCTTTATATATTGTAAAGTATAATTAATATTTTATTTTGATACAGGAGTTTCTTAACTATTGACGCTAATTGTGCCATGAAGAGACCAGAAAAATGAAATCCACAGAGAATCTCAAAACTTCATTTTCTAACTTGTCAGCCTTCTCCATAAAATATTAGTGCCAACAAAAAGTGAAATATATTAATAAGACAGACAGGAGAAGCCAGAGGACTAATTTTTAAAGGCAAATTTTTAAATTTCTTTTCTTTTTTTTTGCAGTAGAAAGTTTATTTTACTATATTTTACTTTATTTTGGCCATACTGACCAGCATGCAGAATCTAAACTCCCCAACCAGGGACTGAACCCGTGCCCCCTGCAGGGGAAGCACTGAGTCCTAACCACTGGACTTCCAAAGTGAAAGAAGGTGAAAGTCTTTCAGTTGTGTCCAACTCTTTGAGACCCCATGGACACAGTCTATAGAGTTCTCCAGGCCAGAATACTGAAGTGGGTAGCCTTTCCCTTCTCCAGGGAATCTTCCCAACCCAGGGATTGAACCCAGGTCTCCTGCATTGCGGGCAGATTCTTTACCAGCTGAGCCACAAGGGAAGCCCAAGAATACTGGAGTGGGTAGCTTATCCCTTCTCCAGCGGATCTTCCTGCCCCAGGAATCGAACTGAGGTCTCCTGCATTGCAGGTGGATTCTTTACCAACTGAGCTATCAGGGAAACCCTGGACTGTCAAGGAATTCCCCAAAGGCAAAACATTTTGAAATGTACTCACTTAAAAGGATGATAAACACTTTTCCTCATCTTTTTGTTTTCTTCACACCAGCAAAAACCATTGCATATTTCATCACTTTTAGATAGGAAGCCAGTAACCAGGGTAATGCCAGTCACGTCTTTACCTTTGAGCTTGATTTGATTATTTGCAAACATTACATTAAAGACAGCTTGTCAAGTATGTCTAAGAACTGATTATACTTTACTTCACTCTTTCAGATTTCTAAATGCACAGATCCATTATACAGTTTCTAGATTTGCTCATTGGGAAAATCTTTTTAATTCCTTATTGATATTATTTACAACTGTTTAATTCTTTTATTAACTTATTCAGCCCATAAGGGAAAAAATGGAACATTTTTACCTAGATCAGTAGTTCTCAATCTTGACTGCACTTTAGAATCACTTGTGGAGCTTTTAAAAACATGGATGCCTAATTAAAGCAGAATCTCTGGCAGATGGGGCCTGCGTATAAGTTTGTTTTTTTTTTTTAATATTCCTAGTGGTTCTTTTATGTGCAAAAAAAGGTCCCCTAGTCAAAGTTTCCCTTTGTCCCCCCACCCGCATAGATGCTAAGGATGGGCAGTAGAACCATTTCACCTTCCAGTCGACTGGTTTTCAACCCTATAATTAACGGGGGAGAATTTAAATATGGATGCTGAGTTCAAGAAAACATTTTTTGTGAAGTTTCAAGATACTGCGCATGTTCCCTCATCTAAAGTTTTTATTAGGATCAAATAATATGGACAGTAAATTAGTGGGTAATCTTAAAATAACCCATTTTTACTTTGGGATGTATTTGCATTCTTATTTTATTTTCAGTACCTATTGCAGCCTGAGAAGTCACACAGTAATAAAAGAACTATATTAGGATTATGTGACTGAAATACTATGTCCTGGAATTTTGCAAGCTTTAATGTTTCTTCACT